AGCACTCGGGCCGATCGGGGCCGCCGTCTGCAGCCGGCAGTTGAAATCCCGCGCCCCGGGGGGTGGCGGGGCCGGGCGGGGCGGGGCGGGGCGGGGCGGCGTGGGGTGGCGCGGTGGGGTGTCCGCAGCGCGCAGTGCATTGTGGGCCGTAATAAGGGGTTTAGACATCATCGTCTGTGGTTTCAAAAGGAAACTGCATTAGTTAAGTTTCAAACAAGCGTACGGTGTTCGAACAGCCTCCAAAGTAGTGTAATAATGTTCATTCTGTGTGTGTGTGCTCGCAAGCGCGCGTGTCTTCTTCTTCTTCTTCTTCTTCTTCTTCTTCTTCTTCTTCTTCTTCTTCTTCTTCTTCTTCTTCTTCTTCTTCTTCTTCTTCTTCCTCAGTAGTCGTAGATCCTTCGCCAGTCCACCCCTTCCATTGAGGGAGACACACACACACACACACGACAAACCAGCGGCAACAGTGTCACAAGGCGGTGTGGCCACAAACGTGAACATAATCTGCAAGCTGCTACCGCCGGCTACTGATGCCGCCCTTACGGACACACACACACCACACACACACACACACACACACGCACACGCGCGCGCGCGCACACACACACACACACACACTCGTTGTTGGCCAACACCATTCATAAGGAGGGCCTTTGGGCCGAGACCGCCTATCACCGCCAAGAGGAAGCGAAGCGTCATTTAGCGTTGAAATGTTACACTGGGGCCGCAAAGCTGGTGTAAAAAGTACTCTCGTGTGACTGGTTGTGAATGCGGCTCCCTCGTCCCGCCCCGCCCCGCCCCGTCGCCCCGGAGGAGGTCTCTTTGGTCGCCAACGGACGGGGGGAGTGAATTTCGTTCTGCAACTACACTGCCAATCCACCCAAACGACGGCCTGTTCGGGTGGCACGGGCGGCACCAAAGTTTCGAACGACATTGTCACACAATGGTGAAATCTGTGGTGGCAACTATTGGTGTGGTGGGCGATCGCTGAAGTTGTCCAAGCCGGTCGGACTGGCGGCACACGGCATGGCCACGCCCAGGACAACAGCCATTACAGCATCATACTCATTGTACACATTGTATCCGAGATCCGAATCCGCCCCCCCCCCCTCCCGGGCCGTCGCTAATGACGCGCCACTTGATGACAACGTTTGTAAATAACACGGTGCAACCGCAGCGGCCGCCATCGCGTCGCTTTCTTGCTAGTGTCACGCGCATTTCGGTGGGACTGCAGAGCTTGACCCGCCCCGCCCCGCCCTCGGGTTCGGGACCGGTAGTATAAACAATTTTTTCGGCGACCAATTGCTTGAGTAGGTATATCCAGAGAAGATTCAGTACCAGCGCAGGCAGGGCGAGAGCTATGGCGTCCCCGGTGGCTCAGTGGTAAGAGCAGGATGTGGGAAGCGGCAGGTCCCGGGTTCGGGACCGGTAGTACACAAAATTTTTTTGGCGACCAATTGCTTGAGGAGGTATATCCAGAGAAGATTGGGTACCAGCGCAGGCAAGGCGAGTGCCATGGCGTCCCGGTGGCTCAGTGGTTAAGAGCACGGTGTGGGAAGCGGCAGGTCCCGGGTTCGGGACCGGTAGTATACACAATTTTTTCGGCGACCAATTGCTTGAGGAGGTATATCCAGAGAAGATTGGGTACCAGCGCAGGCAAGGCGAGTGCCATGGCGTCCCGGTGGCTCAGTGGTTTAGAGCATGATGTGGGAAGCGGCAGGTCCCGGGTTCGGGACCGGTAAAACACACAATTTTTTCGGCGACCAATTGCTTGAGGAGGTATATCCAGAGAAGATTGGGTACCAGCGCAGGCAGGGCGAGTGCCATGGCGTCCCGGTGGCTCAGTGGTTAAGAGCACGGTGTGGGAAGCGGCAGGTCCCGGGTTCGAGACCGACCAAAGTACCATTTTTTCGGGACCTGATTTCTCGAACGGCAGCTCAAGAGGAGTTGCGACATCACCGCTGACAAGCTGGTTCGGTGGCTGAGCGGTCAGGGTAGAGGAGTTGACTAGACTCGGCACTCGGGGTCGCGGGTTCAAATACCCAATGTGACCCCTCTGAGGTAAGGCCTCTGAATCTGGACTCTCACTGTACCACAGAAACCGCGCGCACTTCGGGTGGGCCAGCCCAATACGAACCCACTAATCTGTCGAATTGCGCGGCAGGGAGCGTCGGATGAAGGCCCGGTTCCCATAAGAACACCGAAGCTGATCGGCGGGTCTCCTAGAGACTTTCGTATTGCCACTTTTTGCTGTCAATTTTTTTTCTTTTGCAGCTGTATTAGATTGTTTTGAGTCCCATTTAGCGACTCTGGAGCTCTGCACGCGTCTAGGGTTCTGTCCGCCTGCCGGTCTGCCGGCCCACCGGCGGGGCTTTGGCCGCCGCGTCCTGCCCCACCTCTCCGATTTGAATGCGATTCCGGCCCCAATGCGCGGCTCCGCAGACAGCATATATATTTCTACTCGTCCCGCACCGCCGAGCCAGATTGGCCGTCCGAACCGCTGTTTTTCTGTCCGCGCGATATATCCCCGCCCGTCTTGTTTTGTTTCACGGACAGCGGGGGATCCTTTGCCAAATTCGTTCTCACTTGATATGAAACTGAAAAACTCATTTCCGGTGAGTGTGTGATGATGTCGCACCGGCCGCGGGCACCGCGGTCACCGCGGGCCAATCAGAGGATCAGAGTGTTTTTATCCCGCAGTGCTGCCAATACACCGGCCGCTCCATGATGCCAACGTGATTGTTCCTTTTTTGTGCAAAGCGTAGGAAATTATTGCTCTCATGTGTGTGTGTGCGTGAGAGGGAGAGAGAGAGAGAGAGAGAGGGGGGGGGGAGAGAGAGGGAGAGAGAGCATGTGTGTGTGAGTGAAACCGATATATGGCTCCGTGTTTGTGTGGTTCAATCTCTGCCGTCACAAAAATTGGTCTGGCCCGCCCGTGCCTTTCGCTCATTGTGTTGTCAGTCGAAATTAACACTTGACCGCACTCGTGCCCTTTGTAATGCAAAACTCTTTAAAAGGGATCGCTCTCCTCGTTACCAGGTAGTAGTTTATCCGGGGCTGATCGGATACAAAGAATGGAGTACGCTGGGATTCGAACTCCGGTCCTCGAGACTTTACGGGGTGGGTCTCCGATTTTCGGCCTCCTGGAGTTTCGGTGCAGCAGTGTCCCAGTCTCACAAATCATAATTTTCTAATTTTTATTCTACGCCGGGTGCCTTGTCAACCACTCAAGGTGTCACCACCACAATAAAAAAATTGATTCAGTTGGAATCAAACTGTTTCTTTTTCACATCGATTCAGATTGGAAAATTGTTGACGCTGCTTCGCGAGCTGGTCCTCACGGTTGGGCCATCCCTTGTCCCCGGCACTGCGAAATCGGATTCATTCCCTGAGTCGCGTTTGCTGGCCACTCTGGTCAACGCCCCACAAACGAAGGCCATGAATATCATTAACTGCCCCAAGTGACCCATGCTAAAACTTCAATGGCGCCAAAGTCCAATTCTTTTTTTCTTCCCGCCTCTATTTAATGTCGCGGGCGAGAAAATGGGGTGATTAACGCCCCATCCACGCACACACATGCACAGGCTGTGCCGGGCTGTGTTTAAAAGGCGTGATGTGGTTTGCGAAAAAAATAAACGCCGAATGGGTTGTGTGACGAAGCGGGGCGGGGCGGGGCGGGGCCCCAGGCGAGGTGTAATGCTGTTACAAACGAGTAATCAACGGGCCACCCTTTCCACGCAGCCATTTAGACGCACTAGAGACACTTTCACCCTTTTTTTAAAGTTTTTTTCGCAGGTTTTTGGTGGGGGCGTGGCGTGGGGCAACTTTGGCGCCGAAATTAAGTCGTTTCGAGGCACTCCAGGCACTCGCCGAGCTCTCGGGCCACACCTGCACGACGTGCGAATGTGTGTTTCGAGTGCCCACATTTGGAAACGGTTATTTACCCCTTTTTGGCAGAAAGGTGTGCGTGCTATGACAGCCCCAACCAAGGCAGCCCACAAGCGTCATTCTTTTCGACTTTGTTGTGAGTCTCATTTTTATTTTGGACTCTTTTTTTGTTTGCTTCTGTTTTGTTTTTATTTTCATTTTTTGGCACAATGGTCTTACGCCACTTTGCTTGTTTTCTCTGTAAAATTTTCTTTTTATGGAAGAAAGGGTGGTATTTGTGTGGATTGTGTGAAATCAGAAAGCTGTTATGTTTGTCATTTTTTTTAATAAAACAAGAAATATATCATATCTTTGCACTGATTCAAGTTTGGTTAAGTATTGGCAGCATACATATATTTATATATATATTTATAGATATCTATAATAAAAAAGCAGAATAACAAGTGTACAGGTCTAAAGAAGGACAATTTTTCTATAATTTCTATAATTACAGACGTCAATAAGTTACTCATAAATTAAAATCCACTAGACACATCATGGCTTTCGGCCAAAGCAATGAGTACCAAGGCTATTTTATTTACAGAAAAGTCTATGAGTATACACATTAGTCACGAGACTAAAACAAATCAAAAACGAAAAACAAATGATATTCAACAAGTCCTACTCTGTATTGTCTTCACGTGTCAATAAAGTAAATGGAGTTTCCTCGCATGGTCAAGAACACACTAACCTAACAGCACTGATGATTTTCAAAAAAAAAAATCTGAGAGAAATGCCTCCTAAACAACAACAAGTATGGCACGTTGACTACTAAACGAAAACAAGACTACGGGCTGTCGGCGCGGTGGTCGCGGTGGTCGCGGTGGTCGCGGAGGTCCTTGGCGGCGAGTCGCAGGCTGTCGATGCTGGAGGTCTTCCTGGCGTCCAGCGGGCCGACGGGGCCGGCGGGGCCGAGGCCCTGGGGGCTCTGCGAGGCGGCGCGCGACCGGGAGCGGAGGTCGTCGGGGGAGGGGGCGGCGTCGAGGTGGTGGTGGCGCGGCTGGTGCACGGGCTGCGGCGGCGACGGCGGCCCGCCGTGGTGCGGCAGGAAGGGCAGCCCTCCGGACAGCATGTACTGCGACAGCATGTGCAGCGCCTTGGAGGGCTGCGCCGGCAGCGACTGCAGGGACTGCAGGGACTGCAGCGAGTGCCAGGGGAACGGCGGCGCGCCGGGCAGGCCCAGGTTCAGGGTGGCCGGGTTCAACACCAGCCCGGGCCAAAAGGGCTCCGGGCCCAGCGGCGGCGGCAGCGGCAGTCCGGGGTGCACGGCGAAGTCGGGCATGCCTGCGGGGAAGGGGAGCGTTAGATTGCAGGACAACAAGTTGGGCTGGAAGACCGGTGGAGGCGGACAAAACTCTAGACGCGTTTCGAGCTCCAGAGTCGCTAAGCAGGACTCGAACCGAGCGTGTGACCCCACCAATGGATTCCTCGTTCTGAGAGCAATCCAATGGTGGGGTCACACGTTCGGTTCAAGCCCTGGTTCGCGACTCTGGAGCTCAAAACGCGTCTGGAGTTTTGACCGCCTCCGCCGGTCTTCCACCCCGCACTGTGGGCTCCTCCGCGAAAGCCTCTTTGTGACTTTTGATGTGAGCTTTTTAATTGGCTGGGCTTACCTCCGGGCGGCTGGTGCATGAAGGAGGTGGTGTCCCTGCCCAGCGCCTTCTCCCGCTTCCGCCACTTGGCTCGCCGGTTCTGGAACCACACCTGCAACAGGGAGGCGAGGCAAACACGTTAGCGAATATGCGGACGAGGCGGCGTGGCGTTTGAAGTACGCCGCGTCTTATTATAAGGGGATCGCCACCCTCGTTAGCGTGTGTGCGTGTGTGTCTGTGTGCGTGCGTCTGTGACGTCAGCCACACGTGTCGGCAGTATCTCCAAGTGGGTCACACCCAATAACAACATCTTCCCGCCTTCTGCCCAGCCAGGGCGCAAACAACGAGAAACCTCGCGTCTGCAGTTTTTTTTTTTACAGGTACATAGTTGGGGGGCGACTCAGTGCATCTGGTGACACACGCGGTCACCTAACCGAACCTAGACAGCTCGACTTTAAACAGTAGATAGGTGTGAGTCTATGATGACTTCATGTTTTCATCAATGACTTTTCAATAAATTTGTTGTAAACAACAACAACAAAATGAGCAAAGTTTTTGAGAAACCACGACGGCGCAGACGCGTTGTCTGCTAGGCGCAGCGAAAAACCTCTTCACTTATTCACCCTCTCCCTCACACCTCCCTCGCACCCTCCCCTGCCTCTCTTTCACTCTTTCGCTCAATTAGCCAAATCGGGCCAATTAAGTGCGATTCCGTCCAATTGTGGTGGCGCGAGCTCTAAGGGGCTCAGTCTGCGGACCGGACGGCCGTCGCGGGGTGGGGGTGAGAGAGAGGGGCGGGGGAGTGGGGGTGTGAGGGAAAGGGGGGAAAGGGGGTGGGTCCGAGCGGGCAGCTCTGAAAGGTCGGTCCTTGGGAAGATCCCGGCAAGCTGCGCGAAACTCAATTAGGAACCTTCTCCTCTCTCTCTCTCTCTCTCTCTGACTGGCCATGAATACGTGTATGATGGCGGCTAAGTCCGAAATTAGAGCGGCCATTGACGCTGCCTCCTACGTTAGCGCGTCGCCCCGCCGCCAAGGTGTGCCGAACAACTCTAGACGCGTTTTGAGCTCCAGAGTCGCTAAATGGGATTCGAACCGAACGTGTGACCCCACCAATGGACTCCTCGTTCGGAGAGCAATCCATTGGTGGGGTCACACGTTCGGTTCGAGTCCCACTTAGCGACTCTGGAGCTCAAAACGCCTGGGTGACTCGTCAGCCCCGCCAAGCTCTGTGCTGCGAGGCGGAGCACTGTGAAGCAGACGAAAAAGAAGGGAAACTCTCCAATACAAAGAAGCGGGTTTCAATCTTTAATAGCAGGTTTCACCCCTTAGTGCCCCCTCCCCCTCCCCCCTCCTCTCTCTCTCCCTCTCTCTCTATCGGACATCCGATTACAGCCATTGTGTTCAGACTACAATGCCCCAATTGCCCTCGCCCTTCCTTCTCCCTCACACATCATCGTCGCTCCTTCTTATTTCCACCTCCTCCTGCCGTGAATTAGCCTTTCTCCTCTCTCCCTCCCTCTCTCTCTCTCCCTTTCCAATGCACTCCGCCCGGTGGTCCACAAAGTGACGAGTGTCCAGTGTGCCGGGCGGATGTGCGCCCATTGCGCGGCTTGAGAAATTTTCTGCCACCCCGATCGATCCTCCCTGCGGTTAAATCTTTTTAAGTCGATTAAATTTAATCGACTGCTCTGCTCAGCCAGTGCGCGACGTGCAGGGGGCTCAAAACGCATCGCAGAGTGACGAACACATCGCGACGACCGCATTCCAAGCAGCGTTTTCGCAATGGCTAAAAGTTCCAACACGGTCGAATCGACAGAAACTTTAAATCTTATTCCGTTGAGCGAAAATTTGGAAACTCATGAGGTTCAATCGATTCAGCCTCACTTTTGTTTTGCAGCGTGCAGCCAACACAAGGAAGCGATAGAAATTGGAACCGTTTGGCAGAAGGAAGAGTGGTGACACTGTCGCATACGTTTCCCACGGCTTGGGGCGTAAAACCGCCCCCGGGCAGTGGCGGTCTGTCTGTCTGTCTGTCCGTCTGTTGCCCCCGGCACGAGCGGAGCGCGATGCCGTGTTTGCTTTTCCCATGGCCAGGCCGGTTGCCTTGCCGGCCCGGCTGACTTAGCGACTCACTACAATATACTACCCCTACCCCCGATTTCACCTCTCCATATCGACTTCACCTCACACACACACACTCACCACACACACACACACACACACACACTCGCGCGTACGCACGACCAAACACACACCGACGCACGCACACACACGCGCAGGCCACTGTCCGTGATATGGTCTGCTCGCTCACACGAATCTAATTGAATGGAACGAGACGTCTCTTTAATACTACACTCGACCCCCCCCCTCCCCTCCCCCCTCCCCTCCCCTCCCCTCCCCTCCCCTCCCCCTCCCCGTCCTCGCCGCCGCCAGGCCGCCACACACAGCGAGAGGTTTGCACGCGTTTTTATTAGGCTCTCTGGACGGTGCAAATAGACGCTCTGCTCTCTCTCTCTCTCTCTCTCTCTCTCTCTCTCTCTCTCTCTCTCTCTCCTCTCTCTCTCTCTCTCTCTCTGTCCCTGCTTCGCGAGGCGTGCCCGCTGGCCGGCGACCCGCGATCAAATCGGCGATGCCGCTCTGTCTCTCTCTCGCCGATTGACTTAGCAGTGTGCGAGCGGGCGGGAGATCCGTAGGGACGGTAAAGTGCCCCACGGGAGCAACGATTAACAGTGGGAGTCACAGAACGACAAACAGACCAGTCTGTCCTAATAACGAGGAATTAAGTGCCTTTCAGCGGGTTTCACACACACACACACACACACACACACACACACACACACACATTACAAACAGTGCCTCATTTTCAAATTACCGCCCACACGGTGCTTCTGTACCAAAAAGAAGGAAGAAAAATGGGAAGAAGCAGAAAAAAGCCAAGAATTAATCCTTCGTAATTAAATGAGCCTGATGCATGTGTGTGTGTGTGTGTGTGTGTGTGTGTGTCTTATTGCCGGTGCAGTGGACTGGGGAGGCGCGTGCCAAAGATCAGGACGCACTCACTTGACAAGCCGAGATCGTCAATTAGATCGGACTAGGCTGAGCCGTTCTCACACGCCGGGCCGCCACCCCCACCCTCTCCCTCCTCTCTCTCCTCTCTCTCTCTCTCTCTCTCTCTCTCTCTCTCTCTCTCTCTGCTTCCAGGGCGCTGGCGGGGCGCAGGCGACAGAGGGGGTGGTTCGTCCCCACAGTGGATAATTGCCCGCGAACAATGCGACTATAATTCGGCCTCGCCTTGTCGTCCCGTCTCCGCGCGCTCAAAGCGGTGCTCTACAAGGTGGTCTCGTACCCGGGTTCGAATCCCAGCACAGGCCATTTTTTTCTCGTTTTGAGTTTTAGAGTCGCTACATGGGACTCGAACCGAACGTGTGACCCCACCGATGGATTCCTCGTCCGGAGAGCAATCCATTGGTGGGGTCACACGTTCGGTTCGAGTCCCTTTTAGCGACTCTGGAGCTCACAACGCGTCCGGGCTTCTGACCGCCTCCTGCGGGAAGCGCCTGCGAACCCCGGCGTAGGCCGCGGCCGGCCACCCGCGCGCGCCGGGGGGCCTACCTCACAGGCGCTGGGCCCAGCCTTGGCGCCTTGGCTCAGCCGAGCCGTGCCGTGCCGAGCCGTCTCTACCCCGCACTGCGCCCTTGCAACGCCTTGGCGACTCGCGAGACGAAGATAGCGCCACTGTTCCATTTTTGTTTCTTTTTTTCTCAACGGGGTCACTGTGAAACAGCACGCGGACGGCACCGCTCCGGATGGACACGGACGGAGCGTCGATGAGTGGATATCTACCGTTTCCACCTTTTCACGTCTGTTTCTTTTTTTGTGTTTTTTTTTTCAAACGTTGGCAGCGGGGCGGCGGCGGGGTGCTGCAAAGGGGGCGATGTTATCGCCAACGAAACGACGTTAAATTACTTAGCGAGAGATAAGGCTGCTGATAACATGGTGGCTAATGTGCATTGTATTGTATGCGATGCCATTCGATCCAGCGCGGTGTCACGGCAAAGAGGAGCCGAGGGAAGGGAGGGGAGGGGGAGGGGAGGAGAGGGGAGGGGAGGGGAGAGGAGGGGAGGGGTGAGGAGGGGGGGGGAGGGGGAGGGGAGGGGGGAGCACACGCCTCGTCCTTCGTTGGGGTGAAAAGAATGGGAGCAAAATAAGAGTGCTCAGTCGCGCTGCTCAGGTCGCCAAGTGGCGAAGTCCCTTTCGCCTCTGGTCCTCTAGTCTCGGCACGGATTAAGTGTTTTATGGGACTTTCGCCAAGTGCCGCCAGGGCAAGCCGAAAGCGCAAGGACAGCCACAGTGGGCCAGAAGACCGGTGGAGGCGGCCAAAACTCTAGACGCGTTTTGAGCTCCAGAGTCGCTAATTGGGAATCGAACCGAACGTGTGACCCCACCAATGGATTGCTCTCCGAACGAGGAATCCATTGGTGGGGTCACACGTTCGATTCAAGTCCTGCTTAGCGACTCCGGAGCGCTGGAATTTTTGGCCGCCGGCACTGCGTGTTCTGAATCCAGGTCCAGGACCGCGGCACAGGGCTGGCTGGAGCTGGCTGGAGCCGGCTGCCTTGCCTTGCTGGAGAAGTAGTGCCTCTCGAGGAGGTCCCTTTGTACGGTGGTACTCTTCGGTCCCCTTTGCTCCCCTTTCCCTTCGAGTCCGCCATGTGTCGGCCACTCGCCTTGAGCGTTTTAACTTTGTAGAATGGAATTACAGTCAAAATGGGGTTATTACGCGTTTGAAAAGCCGCAGCGTGCCGTGGCGTGCCGCGCTGCGCACGCGTGCGTCGGCGGCTGGAGTGGCTCTCGTACAGTGGAGGGCCGCGACCCGCTCCGCGCTCGCCGGCCAAGCGACGGCCGAAAGGCAGCGCGGGGCAGCGCGTGGGGCGGCGGGGCGGCAGTGCAGAAATGTCATTCATCGGCCGGATTAGGGCACAGTGGGCCTGAAGACCGGTGGAGGCGGCCAAAACTCGAGACGCGTTTTGAGCTCCAGAGTCGCTAAATGGGACTCGAACCGAACGTGTGACCCCACCAATGGATTCCTCGTTCGGAGAGCAGTCCATTGGTGGGGTCACACGTTCGGTTCGAGACCTCTTTAGCGACTCTGGAGGTCAAAACACGTCCGGGGCAGACAGACAGACAGACAGACAGACAGACAGACAGACAGACAGACAGACAGACAGACAGACAGACAGACAGACAGACAGACAGACAGACAGGCAGACAGACATACAGACAGACAGACTTGGCACTGACCTGCACGCGGGCCTCGCTGAGGTCCAGCTTGGAGGCGAGCTCCTCGCGGGTGTAGACGTCGGGGTACTGCGACCGGTCGAAGGCCTGCTCCAGCTGGTGCAGCTGGTAGGTGGTGAAGGTGGTCCGGGAGCGCCGCACCTTCCTGGGCCGGTTCATGTCGCCGTCGAGGCCGTCGAGGCCGGGGCCGTCGCCGCCGGAGCCCAGGTCGGCGCCGATCTCGGCGTCCACGTCGGAGAACGTGGTCAGGTCCAAGTCCCCCGACGTGGTGGAGCCACTGTCTCCCTTGGCCGGGTCCTCTGCGGCAAGAAAAACAGTGTGTCAAAAGGCGGACATTTTTTGCTGTGTTTTTATACGCTTTTTTTCTCTCCTCTGGCGAGTATTTCCTAGTTGTTCTCGCGACAACGATACAGTGAAAGACCGGGCATCGATAGCGACGCATATTCAAATGGATAGAGTTTCTCTGTCTCTCTCTCCCACGCACGACGGCTCCATCGGCGGCTCGTTTCCCACCGATAGATAGGATTTCAGTCTCACAAAGGCGCAGCACTGTCGCAGCAAATTACACGAGGAGAGGCCCAAAACAAGGCGGCGGGACTCAGGACTCAGGGTCGAGATGCGAGGCGCCGCCCGCGACAAAGCGCTTCCCGGAAGGACCGCCTCCACATAACACTGGGCCAAAACTCGGACAAAACTCCAGACGCGTTTTGAGCTCCAGAGTCGCTGAACAGGACTCGAACGGAGCGTGTGACGCCACCAATGGATTCCTCGTTCGGAGAGCAATCCATTGGTGGGGTCACACGATCGGTTCGAGTCTCATTTAGCGACTCTGGGGCTCCAAACGCGGCTGGGATTTTGACCGCCTCCACTGGCCTTGCAGCCCACTGGTCGTCCCGTCCCGAAGCTCCCCATTTGGAGGCGACATTAACGCACTGCGCGTTCTAGCTTCCGATCAAGGGCTGTCGAACGACCGGCTCCGAAACCTGACCAGCACTACTCACTTCCCAATTTAATTTTTTTTTGTTGAAAATGTAGCTCTCTGCTTGTAAAACAATCTTCCTATTTTCCTGCGGGGCTCAAATTAGCTGGACGATCGGCTTAGTTGTCTACATCGCCTGGTGTACACTGCGGCCAGGACGAGCAGAACAAAAGGGATTAAGGAGAAGCAACATGGGAAGGGGTAGGGGTGCGCCGGCGCACTGCCAAGCCCTGCCGCCCCAGAGTCCGTCTCTCTCGCACTCATGGGGCGTTCCCGGCCGGTGCGACGGAGACAGAGCGACGAAAGCGACTCTCAGTGTGCCGGCTAGCCCTGCAGGGAGCCGTGCCGGTCTGTATTAGCCGCTCAGATTAGCACATGGATCTTCGATGTAGGCCACACCCCCTCGCTCTCCAAAGTGGCTGTACCTTTTAAAAGATTTTTTTTTTACCCTTTAGACGTATCCACGCACGAAGCGAGAGTTTGGGATGAGAGAGACAAAAGCTTTACTCGTGATGAAACTTGGAGAGCAACCCATTGGTAACGTCACACGTTCGGTTCGAGTCCCATTTAGCGACACTGGAGCTCAAAACGCGGCTACATTTTTGGCGCCCTGCGCCGGCCTTCTGGCCCACTGTGATATACGCCACAGGTCGCGTTTCCCAAAGAGAACCAGCGTTTTAAACCGGGCGCTTTTAGAAAAATAGTCTGGAGGCTTTTGGCCGCTGCTCCTCCCCCTCCCTGTTTGCAGTGTGTTGTTGATCCGGCGCGCGGAGCGGCCAGACTGGCGCACAATATGGACAATATGCATTTAGTTGGAGATAATCCTCGTGGGCGGGGAAATAAAATATTGAGAGTCGCTTTGTTTGTTTTAATGATGTCATAGACACGGATTAGTGGGCAAATAACGTCATCCACGCCGGTGGCTTCTAGTGGCTCGCCGGTCACATTCGTCAGTCACTCGTCAGTTCGTACGCGGCGTGGCACACTCGAAAATCGAAATAGCAATATCACTGCAGCCTTTTTTTTTAAATTGTCACCGAAAATGCAGACCAAAAAATAGAAAAAAAAAATAAACCCATTATTTTTTTTTGATTCTGCGGAGGAAAGCAGCAAAGTTATGAAAAACGAGAACTGGCGGCGTTTATTTGTAATCCAGCCCGAGACGTACACTGTCTCCATGGCCGCACCTGTACACAGTGTGCTGCACCGTGCTGCACCCGCCGGCGGCCCTTTGAGATCCACACCCACACGGACACACACACGGACACACACACAGACGCACAGACCTGCACCCGAGACAGGTCCAGGTCGCCGCCTCCGACAATGCGATTCGAATACACTGTAGCCCCCTTTGTGCGGGTGTGTGTGTGAAGTACGCCGACGCGCCGGGGCTTTGCTCAAATTAAAACCCACTGGTTTGCTCTATTTATCTCGTTTTGTCCGGAGGCGTTCTGCTGGAGAATTCCGGGACGAACGCGTCTCAGCTGGAACCGCGCACCGCAGTGGGCCAGAAGACCGGTGGAGGCGGCCAAAACTCTAGACGTGTTTTCAGCTCCAGAGTCGCTAAATGGGACTCTAACCGAACGTGTGACCCCACCAATGGATTTCTCTCCGCACGAGGAATCCATTGGTAGGGTCACACGTTCGGTTCGAGTCCCATTTAGCGACTCTGGAGCTCAAAACGCGTCTAGAATTTTGGCCGCCTCCACCGGTCTTCGGGCCCACTGTGCGCACCGCGCTCCAGCCGTTCAAAAACACGGACAAAAACAACAAAAATTTTGGCGACAGTTGATATTCTCACGGACGGGAAATCCAAGCGGGCCCAGCCGGCGATGGAGAAATGGAATTATTGGCGCTGTCTCTGTCGCACTCGTGGCGGCGGTGGGCCGCCGCCCGGAGCCGCGCGTCTTGCTACAGCCCCGCCGGGGGCCCCAGCGCGGGGCGGGGGAGAGAGACAGGGAGAGAGTGCGGGTGGGAGAGAGAGAGACGGAGAGAGCGGCGCAGACGAGCCAGGTGGCGGGAATCCCCCGATCCGCACGCCGCGCGTGCCTTACTACCAGCGTAGTGGCCGCCCTGCCGGCCCCGCCCGCGGCCCGGGTTCGCCTCCCGGCGGCTGCGCGCCTGCGACGATGACGAAACCTTTTCTAATCTAATGGGCTAACCAGGTGGGTGGACCTAATTATGAAGAGGCCTTGTCGCGGTGAGGCCGCGGCGGGCACGGTGCGGGCACTGTGGGGCCAATTCGACTGTCAGGCTGTCAGCGGCAGTCGGACCTGTCAGCGGCAGGGCGCCGGGGCAGCAGACGCTTGCCTGCGCGCAGAGGGAGGGATCGGGGAGGGATCGGGTGAGGATGACCAGGCCGGGGTGGGGCTGAGGGTGGGATCACCAAGGTGCACAGTGGACCAGAAGACCGGTGGAGGCGGCCAAAAGTCCAGACGCGTTTTGTGCTCCAAAGTCGCTACACGGGACTCGAACCGAACGTGTGACCCCACCAATGGATTCCTCGTTCGGAGAGCAATCTATTGGTGGGGTCACACGCTCGGTTCGAGTCCCATTTAGCGACTCTGGAGCTCAAAACGCGTCCGGGGTTTGGACGCCTCCACCGGTCTCCTTGTCCACAGTGTGACATGGCGGTCGCCGCTGGGATCGCGACCCACGCGGTTGGGACGAAGGTCCTGCCGGTGGGCGGGGCGGAACGGAGGCGGAGAAGAGGACGTCCCCCCGCCGCCCCCGCCGCCCCGATGGCCGTTCTGCGGCGCTGCAAAGTTGACACAAGCTCGGGGGTCCGGCATATTAAATTTCCCCAATCCAACTTAAAACTTCTGGCGCTGCCTGTTTAATATCTTTTCGCCACGAACGCGAATAATCCCTTCAGTAATGCAAACCTTCTCTCAATTAGATGATGGCTCCTCCGAATATTGTCTTTTTTCTGTGCCCCTCTTTTCTCCGGCACAGAATTAATCCTCCCATTTCCGAGAGAATATCATTCCTTGTGCCCCCGTTTCACCGTCTCACGGCAACGGGCGCCCGACTCAAAGAAATATCTCAAGTGTCTGAACTCTTTCCGTTCACTGCATGAATGTCATTTAATAACGTCCTCTTCAAAAGGATCCCCGGGCCAAGAGCTTTAATAAAGACACTGGGTGGATTCAAAAAAGAAATTTAATTATGCCGGAGCTGGCTGCCGCGCTGCAGTTAGGTCTTTGTTGGAGTTGGACGGGGTCAAGTTGTTGTCTCTCTTTATCTATCTTTATCTCGCTGTCCTGCTCCTTCTGCGAGGCACCCAATTGCAGGTAATTACAATTCTCGGATTATTTAATGAGTCTAATGGCTGCTACAACTCCGAGTCCTTTCAATTGCCCCGTAATTAATGAAATACCTTTGCTTTGCAGTGCAGGGGCTAACGCCTTGGCGTCACACAGTGGGCCAGAAGACCAGAGGGGGCGGCCAAAACTCTAGACGTGCTTCGAGCTCCAGAGTCGCTGAACGGGACTCGAACCAAACGTGTGACCCAACCAATGGATTGCTCTCCGAACGAGGAATCCATTGGTGGGGTCACACGTTCGGTTCGAGTCCCATTTAGCGATCTGGAGCTCAAAACGCGTCTAGAGTTTTGGCCGCCTCCACCAGTCTTCTGGCCCACTGTGCGTCAGCCTTCGCACAATGCAAGTTGGCCAACTTGCCCCTCGTCGGCCGGAGAGGCTTCCAGTGTAGGCGGCAAAGTCTCCCAGACGTCCCGGGCGCGGAAATTCCACCAAAGTGACGAAGAAAGGGTCTCAAACAGTGTCGCGCCACGGCCCGAACGAATCGCGCGCCTTTTTCGCCGACAATAAGAACAACAACATCAAGAGTTTGCGAAAGAGTTGACCGGGAAACGCGACGCGTGCGTGACGCTCTTGGTTCCGCCGCGTTGCGTCTCTGTCGCACTCACGGCGCGTCCCGGCGTGCCGCGGGGGCGCGAGAGAGACAGAGCGAGAGTCAGCACACTGCGGTCGCGCCAATCGCTCGGAAATAGACTTGCCAATGAGATCGGCGTTCTTTCCGGCGTGCGACTTGGACTTCCGACCGGAGCCCAGTGATCCGGGATGTCCGGCCGCCCCACAGTGGGCCAGAAGACCGGTGAAGGCGGCCAAAACTCTAGACGCGTTTTGAGCTCCAGAGTCGCTGAATGGGACTCGAACCGAACGTGTGACCCCACCAATAGACTGCTCTCCGAACGAGGAATCCATTGGTGGGGTCACACGTGTGGTTCGAGTCCTGTGGAGCTCAAAACGAGTCTGGAGTTTTGGCCGCCTCCACTGGTCTTCTGGCCCACTGTGCGGGTCCAGTAGCTAATAGACCCGCCGGCTATCGGGCCCGGGGCGCACGCCGCCGTGGCGTCAGCGGCAAAAATAACAACAACAAAAATACCCGCCCCGTCGCGGTGCAGCACACTGCAATCCAGTGCACCCACGCGAGACTCTCATTTCATTCTTTTCGTACCCACAAATCGATACCCCCTATCTACAACCGCTTAACTCTGCAGGGATTCCTATGCTGGTAAGCGGTTGTAGATAGGGGGTATCGAAATTTGCAAATTTGAAAACATTTCAACGCACCTCTTTATGTTTTTCATGCAAATTTTTTTACTGGTGCGGACATTGTCACTGCTCAAGGAAATTATAATTATTATCGTATCTTATCTTTTTTGGTTTTAGTATTTCAAAAATTCTCTATTTCTGTATAATTTTTAAAAAGTGCGTGTATTTTTTTTCTTCGATTAGGAGCCTTTTTAAACATGTCTCCCAGAGCGATCGGATGAAAAAGTGCTCACAAACCTGGTGTAAATAGCAAGTTGCGAAACAGCAGAGAATTTGAAAAACATGGCATGAAATGGTCCACCGTGGTGATCTGCACTTGCCGACCCCCTCGCCCCGCGCCGCCCGACCCCCTGTTTGCCATAGCACCCTGGGAACCTTGTTTGACTTAGCGACAGATCTGATTGAGGGCGACTGGGGGCCCGGCCCGGTTGGGGCCCCCACTGGGGTCCCCTCCAGGAACCCCTCCAGGGACCCCTCTGGGGACCCCCGAAACTTCAAACGCGCAAACTGCTGCGGGGCAAGTCGTCTCGCATCGCGCGGCGGGCGAAACCAAATCAGTTTCGGGCCTTTGGCTGCTTTGGCTGCCTTCAGCGCCCTCTGGCGGCGTTCGGCGGAGGCGTGGCGTGGCTCGGCTGCCGCTCGGCACACGTCAAAAAGGCGCACTTTTAAACGACGCAGTTGTCGCGCCACGCAGTGGTTTTGCCAGAAGACCGGCGGCCAAAACTCTAGACGCTCATTGAGCTCCAGAGGCGCTGAATGGGACTCGAACCGAACGTGTGACCCCACCAATGGATTGCTCTCCGAACGAGCTCACTGTAATCCGTTGCACTATGAGAGCCAGTCGCTGCGTCTGTATCCTTTGGGTTTGATGCGGCACTCAAACGTGCACTCACTCACTTACTCACTCACTCACTCACTCACTCACTCACTCACTCACTCACTCACTCACTCACTCACTCACTCACTCACTCACTCACTCACTCACTCACTCACTCACTCACTCACTCACTCACTCACTCACCACACACACACACACACACACACACACACACACACACGTATCACACACACACACACACACACACGGTGGCACTCACCGTCCTTGGCCTTGTCGTTGCCGAGGATCTGGTCGATGCTGTAGACGGCGCGCGCGCGGCTCGACGGCGTGGTGGTGGCGGCCACGGCCAGGTGTCGGGGCTTGTGCTCCATCATGGTGACGACGACGTGGGCGACGACGTGGACGACGACGCCGGGGAACACCGGCTTGAGGGAACGGCGCGCTGAGGCGACCGCCGCGAGTGGAGGATGAACGCGGACTGGCTGGCCCCGCCGCCGCGCCACGCCGCGCCACGCCGCGCCACCGGCCGCCGCTCCCCACCACCACTTCCCCCACCCCTCGGGAGGCAGCACACTGTCACATGTCCCCACCCCAGTCCTGGCGGTCCTGGGCGGAGCACAGCCCATCCCCTCCCTGCCCCGCAGTGTAGGGACCGTAGGGACGGACAGCGCGAATGAGTGTCGCCTCGTCGCCACCAAGCGAGTCACTAAATAGTACTCGAACCGAGCGTGTGACCCCACCAATGGATTGCTCTCCGAACGAGGAATCCATTGGTGGGGTCACACGTTCGGCTCGAGTCCCATTTAGCGACTCCGGAGTTCAAAACGCGTCCAGAATTTTGACCGCCTCCACCGGTCTTCTGGCCCACTCTTCCCTCGCGGCTTCACGCCCCGGTCGAGTGTCCCCGCCTCGTCGTTTAGATCCCGCCCCATTTAGCGACAATCCACTTTCTTCTGGACTGAATCGCGCGCCGAAAACTGGTCGGCCTGACTCGCGGAGACTGCTGCTTGTCTCCATGCCACTACGCTGCTAATGAAGCCCCCCCGCCGAGCCTCGGCTGCACCTCCGCCTCGGCTCGGCTCGGCCGCGCCGTATTTAAACAGCCCCGGCTCGGCTCAGGCCTATTTGCGGCTCGGCTCGAACCCAACAGGCGTGGCGCAGAGTTTATCCACACCCTTTTGTTGGGTTTGCTCTCCTCCCCTGTCTCCCCCCTCTCTCTCTCTCTCTCTCTCTCTCTCTCTCTCTCTCTCTCTCCCCCCTCTCTCTCCCCCCTTTCTCTCTCTCTCTCTCTCTCCCCCTCTCTCTCTCTCTCTCTCTCTCTCTCTCTCTCTCTCTCTCTCTCTCTCTCTTTTCCCCGGGGGTTGGCGGCGAGCTGTATCACGCCTCCTGGCTGCACTCACACCTCCCCCTCCCCTCCCCGACTCAGATTTGGAGTAAATCAGTTTACTGCGGCCAGCTGCAAGCGAGTGCAACGCAGTGCAACGTCCGTGTTACGAAATCTTGTGTCACACGGCGATACTACTGACTCCGCGGCAAAAAAAAAAAGTCAGTCAGACCAGTGTTTGAACCCGGGACCGACGTCGGTGCTGCTCCTCACGATGAAACTCTTCTGTCGGTTGTCTCCGACTCCTCAAGTCCCTTGGCGTGCTCGCGGTCAAACTGTGAAGGACGGTGGTTTCCCTTTCCAGCGATTTGTACAGCTGAGCTAATGGTCCTCGTTTCTTTGCTTCCAAATCCAAATGAGACTCTGGTTCCGAATGGTTTCCCTACACTGCGATTAGCGTACAGTGTGGCACCCACTTAGCGACACCGAGGCTGGGCACGGCTGGGCAACGCAGGGTGACCCCAAAGCGAACCAAATCCCCTTCCCTGCATTATTCTTGTAATGATGCCCTAATTCCCCCCCCCCCCTCTCTCTCTCCCCTCCCCCGACACCTCCAGCGATGCCCACTCTAAGTCTTTTAAAAAGGTTCGCACAACATCCGGGGGACGCGCAGCAAGCAGGCTGCCAGCAGGCGGCAAGGCGGGGCGGGGCGGGGCGGGGCCAGCGTCGCGACCAATGGGAGACGAGCTCGCCAGGCCGGGTGTGATTCAACTGAGACTCTTTACAAAGAGCGCGCTCGCTCTCCCTCTCTCTCGCACACTCACACACACAGTTGCGCAGTGACCCCACCACACACCCCACACACACACCAAAACAACAACACACACCTTTTATCTTGCTGTTGTTGTAGTTGCCCCTCCTGTATGTCTCCCCTCGATCCTCCTTCGCTTCTCATCCTCGCTCGTGTGTTGTGTGTGTGTGTGTGTGTGTGTGAGTGTGTGTGTTGTCGACACGTTATATTTGAATAATGGAGATGCTGCTGTTGTTTGTGTGGTTTGTGGAACTTTCCGCAAATGTATCAATATTTTTTCAAAGTTTTTTTTTTTTTTTTTTTTCATTTTTGCACTGCATGGACATTTTTTTAAGAATTTCGCACGATGATTTCTCAGTGTCCGCATCATCCGAGGGAGAATGATCCAAAAAAAAACCGCAGGATTTTCCCTTGAAAGCGTGTAAATTAGGCGAAAAATTCGAGTGTGCTCGCGGCGTGGATGCGAGGATCCCCACACGGCCCGTAAGTGACCCCATAAGGGGTCCCATCCATTACTCGGCAAACACACTGCGAGAGGCGTCGCTCCGTCTCTCTCGCACCCCTGCGGCAGTGCGGCCCTGGTGCGGCGCGCCCCGTGAGTGCGAGAGAGACGGAGCGACGCGAGTGCGACTCATTAAAAGGGGATCGGCCGGGCTCCCTTACCTCGGGGATCAGCGCCGACACCAGTGCAGCGCTGGAGTGGAGAGAGAGAGAGAGAGGGAGAGAGAGAGAGAGAGAGAGAGAGAGAGGGGGGAGCGAATATGACGCCTTGCTCAATCGGCCGCTCTCCAAGCGATTTGCCAGTGTGCTCAGTCGCCGCTAGAGCGCGACTTCCATGACGTTTCCATACATTTTA